AAACATTCTTATTATACTTCATGTATACGTGTGTCCACGGGTGATCATTGTTAAATTTTTATTTCGTTCAATGATTACGATACACGCTATCTCGTTCGTTGATCTAAATCAAAGCCAGTATAGAAACAATTTTTAACGGAAATTTCGTTGCTGTTATCCTAAGATCTTGTGAGTAATATACTCATTATAGTCAACCTATACTACAAATATTTTAAAAACTACGTGGAAGTGGAATATAGTTGAAGTCATAAAATCTATCGGTTGAACAATATTGTTTGTTGAATAAATCGATTTGTTTTCAATTCGACATTACATTGTTTAAATGTTATACGCATTAAGGGCATTCACATTTTTCGAGCTCTCTATATTATCTACCACTATATTGCGGACATTGCGAAGTATTAGAATGAATTCGATCGATGTTGTTCGCGAAAATATAATACAATATGTTGTGAGGCTAGATCCACTTACATTACAGTTATATTCAACCTGTGGCTTGACAAGTTTTTTTTTTTAAAGTGGTTCAAAAAAAAAAAAAATTCGTCGAATCGATACAAAAAATACAAGCTAATATTAATTATTTTAAATAAGCAAAACAATTATATTGGGATAATCGTCCAACTAGCGATTCCCAACCCATAATCGTAACCAACCTGGGCCGTTAACCATATAATATTAAAACAATTTTCTTTGACTCTTCCAGGCCATTAGGCCCATTGCCATTTCAATCCTCCGTGCGTAATAATAACATTAATAACGTATATATTTAAAATATTAAATATCAGCAAGTGAAAATGATTCGTTGGTTGAACTTTCATGTGATCAGACTTTAAAATAATTTTTTAAAACCACGCCATTAGTGCCATTCTGGTTAAATGTTCGGCAAGACAACCTAGCAATCGCTAAAATTACACTTAGAAACTTGATAGACTATCTTTTGACAACCCATCTGCGTGAACCAGGGTTTTCAACTTTAATTTTTTTTTTAAATAAATATAGGAATAAACTGAATGTTGAGAGTGCTTTAAGGTTAAATCTATACAGTTTTAATCCAGATATTGACTTTCTCGTGGGGGACAAGCAATGTCATAAATCACATTATATTGTTTAACTCTTGAATAATTAGATTCAATAAAGTGTTCTTCTTGATAAACAATTGTTTTTTGTGATAACTGATGTATATATGTATATAGGTTATATATATAACTACAGGTTGATCTCAAAGATTTTTTACGAAATTGGAGGTCCGCACTACTAAAAAGGTTGGGAACCACTGCTCTACATTTAGAAACAACAAGTTTTAATCAATTGGTTATAATGATATTTGATTATTGAACGAAGTTATATGAAAAAATTATGAATATTTGTAATTTTAAAAGGAAACAGATAACTAAAAGAATACATCGTGTAATGCAGTATCTAAAAATAAAAACCAATAGAAAAATGTGCCCTCTTCTTATTAACCATGTTCTCATCAATATATGTTTATGAAACTTCATGTTCAAAAGTAAAATATGCGAAGAATGTGAACTACAGACACCTGATTTATCTGAAATAATGGAAAAATATCTCGAGATCAACATTAATATTTGAAGATCATCTATATGACTAATTATGAAATTTTAAACTGATTGTTTAAACGAGTTTTTAATTTTTCCCAGATCTCTCGACGACAAAAAATGACCAAATTATGATGTATCTCCTTGCGACCCACGTAACGTTTCAGACATTTGTAAGTGATCCAAATAAAAAAAAGGTTGACTATGGTTTGAGAGCATAAACGATAACAGCATTAGGAATAATAATAACGAGGAGATGACCAAAGTGTTTATAATGTATCGTCGTGACCGCATAATTGAAACGATTGTTGTTATTACAACTGAGACCGCGTGTTCGTGTTTTTGTTGTAGACATGACGACGTCGATAGTTCGCTGCGCGTGCGATGCGATTACATTGAACGTATGTGCACTATGCGATTTTTGGCGGTAAATTCAAAGTGATGGGATATTCTTTTTTTATTTAACGACGGGTTTCTTTTTTTGTTATTATTACGTAAGAACGAGGGGCGGCGGCTACATGGAAATATTGTTATCTCGTCGTCGGATCTATTTCGGTCTTGGGGTTGTCGTAGGTATAGCCGTGGTTAGGTGTACAATATAATATAATGTTTTTTTTTTTTTTTTTTTTTATCATACGGTTATAATGTAAAGGTATACACGCGTATAGAAAAACGAAAACCGTATGCCACGCGGTGGAAGATGGCAAAAAACGTCATGGAGATACAAGGTGCGAAGTGCAGTTGGTAAAGGGTATATATGAGCGCGCGCGCGCGCTCGTGTTTTATTATTATTATGATGTAACATTTATATAAATATGATATTTTTAGTTTGTATTGTTTGATTTCGTGTGTGAGTGTATTTTTTTTTAATTCACTGTAAGAGATTTTTATGAGAAAAAAAATGTAATGCCAGGCTTATAATTGTGTGCGTGTAGACGCTGCAGATTATATCAAGTAAATAAATATATATATATATATATATAAAAAAAAAAAACAAAACAAAACAGAATAAAAAAATAACAAACTGTCGGCGGCGAGCTGTACACGGATGGTTAGACGCATTGTCGTGGTTTATTGATAAACGCGTTACACGGTATACCTATACAGAAGTGAAAGAACTGCAGCGGGAGCTCGATCGTAATCGCCAGCCGCGTGTATTTTCTTCTTGTCACTATATTACGACCCCCGCGGATCACGTTGATTCCCAAAATATTGCCCGTTGCATATAACAGTAATATTGCATTTTTAATGTCCGCGTTAAGCTGAATTATCGTTTTATTTTTTTCGTTTTTTTCTACAAATATTTTTACCGTTTACCCGTCGGTAGAATATAAAATATGTTTCAACGATCCTGAGGAAATAAAAAAACGATTCCGAGAGAGTGCGGGAAATTAAAAGGGAAAGGCTTGTGAAAATGTTTATTTAATATTAATACGACTTACGACGATAAAATAAAAAATAAAAAAATTGTAATTTTTATCTGCCTGAAAAAAAATAATATTGTTGATTAAACGAGTATACGACATTCGTGGATAGGGAAATTAATACTATTTGTTTCTGTTCCATTCAAATGGACATTCGATGTTGTTAATTTGTTTTATTGATCAATAAATACAGTTGTGTACAACCTATTGTATTTGATATCTTACACAAAAACTAATAATCACTTAAATAATATATATAAAAGATCCGAATTAAGATGAGTTTGTATTATGATTTATGCTTAATTTCTTACTATTTTTTACGAGAAGTATCGATGACATGATAAAATAAACAATGAATTAAATTGTTGTTTAGTTTTATTACTTGTATTATGTACACTTATATTTATTTATATTAAAATTGTATCGCCACCTATTTACATTATTAAGTGAAATAAACATTATCATAGTGAGTCAGGTCTTACAAAAGAAAAAAGACTTACCGGTATTTTTATCTTTATTATTTTTCAGTCGGCTACATCTGCTCCTGATTTTCGTTGTTCATTTTTAAGCAAATTTTGCTTGCTCGTTTATGAAAAATGTCCCAGGATCAATGACTAACGTTAACATGATGTATTTTCTCGGTTATTTTTTTAAATACATACATATTATATTGTATTTTTCTGGCTAATAAGAAATAAGTTTATAAACAAATATGTTTTTGTTAAACATGTTAACATAAGATTGTGATCACAGCCATGATAATATTTATGAATGGTCTCCGTGGATTAAAGATAGTATACAACATTAAAGAAACAACATTTTGTATTTTATATAATTTTGAGTGAATGAAATACGGTACCAGGAACTGTTTATCGACTTCAAATTGATCTAATATACGTCATGTAATATGTTCAAAATGGTTTTAAATAATAAACAATGTTAAGGCTCACTATTATTCTTAAGCTCGTAAAACGCTGTATAGGGTTGTGCACATGTGTACCCACGGTGTTGGAATATCTCGGCTTAATAATATCTTAATTAAAATACAATGAGAAAGAGAGAGAGAGAGAGATAGAGAGAGAGAGAGTGGACGAGAGAAACGGTGCGAGAGAGAGAAAAACGACCCGGAGGGGCGATAATAAAACATAATTGAGGGTGCTGGTGATTCATTTGATCTGTACAGTACTCTTTTTATATTATATACACACACATATAACCACACATGCATGCGCGCACATTTGGCCTTATTAACGGTGTCGTTCACGCGGCCTCTAGTTTTCACGGTCCCTAGAATAAAAAATAAAAATTTCAATTGGTCTGGTTGACCATTTATTTTAATCATGCCTGTTTGTATCTGGTATAATGCGTATGCACGGTGCTGTTCAACACGACTGATATTGTTTATTTGATGGAGTTTTAATTTTTATTTCACAGAAATTATGTGCGTCGTGTACTCGAAAAATTATAAGTCAATTACGTATGCATATGTTGATAGGTAAATTGCGTGTGTACGTATAGTGTGTTTAAATTAATTTAAATTAATCATTATTATGATTAACACTTGCTTTTGTTCTAAGGTGACGTGTATTTTGGTTCTATGTAAATTGTGAAATCAGTAGGATTTAAAGAACTTCTCATCAGGTTTATTAAAAAAAAAAAAAAAACAAATTGAGTGTTTTCGAAACCGAAAGCAATAGAGCACACGCACTTTTGTTACAAAAATAAAAAAAAAATTTTTTTTATCGACTTAAACTAGTATACTCGTAGATACCGAAATAAAATTTATTACGATAAATCTACTTAATAATAATAATTTCTCATTAAAGTTCTACCAGTTTCGTTTTCAATAATTTTAGTTTAAAGCATGATTCATAAACATAAAAAAACGATTTGACAATCTGTAAAAATAATAGGAAATTCGAACAATCAATGTCCATAGAAAGTATTGTTGGAACGACAACGCTATTAAACATTGATCGAATTTTCTTCGTTTTCTTCGTTCGTTACGACGTCGATATTATTTCACGAACAAAATGGTCCCGAGCTGATCCCAAACAGGCAACTTTATCATTTCCTGATCAAATACGTCCATCACATGTTTCGGCAGTAATTTCTTGTCAACGACCACTTCGAACACGTATTCTTTAAACCACTCGGTGGTCATCATTATGTGTCCGCGTATGTGCATGTTAGGGCCCCAAGAGTTTTCTACGCGCCATCTAGTAATTTCATCGTTCTGAAACAGAATCAATTAAATTTTATACAATATTAAACATAACAGTGTTCGATCTAAAAACTAATAATCTTGACCTGACGTAAATTTATATAAATTTATATTTATTATATTTTTTATGTATTTTTTTTTTTCTTATGAGGAAAAATTCTAGAAGTCGACTGGTTACCTAACATAATCAATACTGACCAAATAGATAATTTCTGAACATTATCAGTAGTAAAATAAAACTATTTGACACGATACGGAAATTACTGATACAGAGTTACACACACATTTATGACTTATTCAATGTTCGTCGTTTGGTTAATTGCAGAAAATTATATTTAGTATCGTAATGAGACCATTGAATCGCGAGAAAATCTAAATATCTACTGTATAAATTACTCGTAAATAGGTATTTTATCAAATTTCCCAAAACATTATATTGCATTTAGTTTTGAACAAAATACTAAACTTTACCATCCCTGCTTTGCATAGCATCTAAATCGTTAATATATTTCGTTCCGATAGTCTTCAACACAAAAATAAATACTATTTTATCGAAATCGAGTTTAAAAAAATAAAACACTTTACTTCAGAATGAAATCCAGTCAATACCATCGCGTGTGTTGGACTCGAATCGTGATACAACATTCGTTCGCTTTTGGTCATTGTAACCGACGTATCGGTGCCGAACATCGATTCTAAATCATGTCTAGATACAACGAAAAATAAACAGTTGAACTTTGCTTTTATGTTATAGACAACGACGTGTGTCACATTTAATCTGCGAAACTGTTATTAAACTGTACGTTTAATTTTATGGCAAATAAAGGTCGCGTCTTTTTAATTTTTTTTTCTTAGGTTCTGGTACGAAATATGGGGAATCAAAAGTCGGGATTAAACACACCGTTCGTGCATATATGATTGCGTTTACTGACAACGTACATTTTTAAATCTTCAATGCCGAGCTCGGATGAAAACTTTTGGTTTACTTCACAACTGTACCAGACCGGTTCGTTAAGCTTGGAAATGGAATTTTTACAAGCTTCCAACAAAACCTCGATCGGCTGATTGTTGTACACCACTTTGGATCCTTCGATAACGTTTCCGATCAAGTCCAACGTGTAGAGTTGGCCGAATCGGTTGTTTGCTCGGGGATCCGATACCAAAGAAACCTAAAACGTGTAATGACTAGGGTTAGGATGACATTGACTTTTCACATTTTCTTTTCTGATTGTACACTGTTTTCAATAGATTCGTTTTTTTATGTTTATAAACGACGAGAGGCCTTTTTTTTCGCGTATTATTGTGTAATTGAAGGTTTTTAGGATGTAATAATTGTTGGGAAAAAAATAACCAGATGGAGATCTTGCGCCCGTTACTAGTAGTAAAACTATAATTTTTAAACTACATACATGTAAAAAGTGAACTGAACAAAATAATATGTTGGAACACACGTGTACTGCAAATCAGTATTTCGTTTAAAAATATGGTTGTCAAAATGTAATTATAATAAATCTACAAATTATATAATAGGTACAACAGAACAAATCGATTGTTAAGTCTTATATAATGCGTATTTTATAAGGATATAAATAAAAATCTTATCTTTTACTTATGGAAGCCCCCCCTCCTCCCATATCTGTTCCTGAATTCGTAACTATTACGTTCTTCGTTCGGTTCGATACCGAAATAATGTCATCGCACCTTATTTTCGAGGTCGTAAGTAGGCCGGACTACTGACTCGTAGAACTGCAGCGGTGTAATCTTTTGATAAGAGCACTGTTGGTTTTTACTACTGCGATAGTACCAATTGAATGTCGGTTTCGGAATGTCCAAGCAGATGCCAACGATCCGGTACACGATGATCATGTCTTTTTCGATTTCGTCTTTGATCTGTTTGTTCGACGCGCCTCTGATAACCATATCGTGTAAGACAATAGCGAACTCCCGGAGCTAATAGCACGACGTAAACGCAACATTTTAATATCATATGAACTTTGTATATTTTCGATATGGCGCCACAAATTACGTTAAATTCGATTTAATGTAATCACCTATACAACGAAACCAATAGTTGGTTGACGCAGATAGCGCATGATATATCCTAACGGTTATTTTTTCGCGAGTAGTCCACTAAGCTGTAGTAAAAGTCCAGTGAAGATTTGATAGAACACGGTATTATCATACGCTGGTGATATTTCTTACGTAAATAACAAATCGATTAGTCGGTAAAAAATAATATTGCGAACCGGTGTACTGTTTATCTAATGCATTTCTGCGAAGGTGTATATCATATAAAATATCAATGTAAAATACTTGAATGATATTAGATTTAAAAAACAAATAAAAAATAAATAATTATTTGAATTTATTAAGTGGTGTGTCGATATTCGATTATTTTCGATAATACTACTGGTACATATTTGAGTACAAAATTTGAACGCGTAATAAAATACGTATTATGATATTACATATTACAAGAAAAAAAAATCTCAATCAACTAAGGAATTAAGTTACGTTACGAATAGGAAAAAATATAATTTTTGTTCCTTGTTGATTACTGTCGGTTATATTATTGGTTCCCAATTATCGATTAATCACTATTGATTTTCCCACTTCAAACAGTGTAGAGAACGAATTCATAGCCCTATTAAAATTAATTATCTTATTATATTATCATAAATCGTCGTCGTCTATATCGTACTACTATTAATCTTCCGCATTTTTTCATCGCACATACACTTTAAATTATAATTGGTTATCATATATAACCAGTGGCGTATACATAACTTTTGTATACCTCCTCCCCCCATCACCAATAAATTCCCTCGATCATTTGCAAACAAATAATTATTTTTATTTTATCATTATTTTTTTTTTATGTTTCTAACCTTTTCGTACTAAGAACATTAAAACATAACATTTAAAAATGACCTAGGGGGATCTGACCCTCACATCACCCCTTGTATACGCCACTGCATGTAACAGTACGTATAATTAATATTAAATAGGTATTAGATATTATTTTCTTGTATACTTGCTTTACTATTTAAAATGTCGTTGAGTTCTCTACTATCTTCACTACTATAACATTCTGGGAAATGTGACTTTGGCATGAGCCCATACTTTTTAATAATATTTACTGCCATAGTCCAATAACCACCATCTTCGATAGGGTTCTTAAAAAACAAAAAAAAAAAAAATTTCTTTAACTTTATGAGAACGAGAAGATATAATATATTGTATTTTACCTTTAATTTTTTAACAACGGTTATCAAACAATTCATATAATTTTTTAATGTTAACTATAATAATTATTAATAAATAAATAGTAAGATTTTCATAAAAAAAAAATAATAAAACACTTATTTAGTGTAGTTTCTATAAAAATAAAAAATCTTATCGTTTATCATTTGAATTAATATATGAACAAAGTCAAATTCGATAGAATTATGTTAATAATTCGAGTTTTGTAATTAATACTGAACTGATTTTTTACACTTACTTTTAGTAGACTTGTGACTATTCTTGAACTTAAAGTCAATCCATTTTTAGTCACCAATACTATCGTGTTTAAAAAATGATTGCTTCGCTCGATCTAATAAATATAATAAACTTTTCCTTAGCTTTCAGTTTTATTAACAAATTAATTAAATCGAAAATACCTATTTTTGAAATTCAAAAAACAAATTTATATCAACACAATGGTATCGACTTATTTTAAACACGACCGTATACTTAGTATACCTACTCATGTTATTTTAAAGTAAAATAAAAAAAACAAACCCTATTATTAATGGATGAAAATTTTGTATATTCTTATACAATTTTATAATGAAAAATAAACGTCTTTTTACTACTTTTATTTACAGTTAGTTTTCAGTGCGTATTGTATATCACTGTTATGAACAAAAGTACAAACCTTATCCCAGAAAAACACGTAAGCTTGGCTGAATTCAAATTGTTTAATACCATATGTTTTCATGAACGACACACGTATTACGTTTAAACAGGCGAAAATCCAACAACGGCCGGAATTCTTTTGACTGCTTATCGGAACACCACTACCCTCGATCTGTTTCAAGCAGACGATATGCATGTCACATTAGTGCGTTTAATTAAATCATCACGTTTGCTCAGCCATCCGATTACCTTCGTGCAAAAATAATGATGATCTTGTCGTTCTTGAACAATTTGTCTCGACAGTGACATTTTGAAAGGGTCGTACATCGTACATATGTTTTGCGCTAACAAGTTCGATGGGTTTGAACGAAAATTTTGTTCGAACATTGACAGCATTTCTTTTGTAATGATATCTTTGAATTTATGCGAATTATAAAATCACACAATAAGATTATATTTATGACTATATTTAAATATTGGTCATTGATATTTTTATTTAAATATATATACTTTTATATTGTATATAATTATAAAAAAATAATCAACGTACAATATTTTGAATTTTTATCTAAACTTTGATGATTCTTATGTTGATTTTGTGCCCATTATACATTTTTAAAATCTCGATTAAAAATATGTATTTGAAAAGAACATACATATTACGTGTATTGTGTTATCTACACTCAAATGTTGATAAATGTAGTAGCTTGTTGCATCATAATTGTAGATACAGTGTATACCATATTACCGATAAGTTGATAGTTATTTTTGAAGCATATTCTACAACCGATGTGTGTACCATATTATGCTTACTCGGTTTTTAGCATTATGTACAATGTGTAGGAAATGTTAGAAATGTCTGTAATGCCATTTAACATTTTGTATAATACGTGGGCATTATGCCTAATGAAAGATATTATCCTTATTGACGGTAACATAGATATCACAGTTTATATTTAATGTAACGTATTACGTACAGCAGTGTAACAGTCGAGAATTTGTACAAAAAAAAATAATAAATAGTCACAAACAAGTACGAGGTAAATAACGTCGAATCTATGAATTGTACCAGCGGAAAATGTCACGTCGTCTATGCGAATGGAATGTCAATGAAGTACTAAATCTCATTAGACGATTCATCAAAATAGTCATTCGCCCTCCGTTTATAAACGTTTAATATGTATATCACTGATAAATGTGGGTTCCTGTTACAACTATTTTGTTTTTTTATTTTTTATTTATTTTTTTACCCAAAAATGTCTATATAGGTACAGTTACAATAATACAACAGGGAGTCCAATTGATCCGAAGTGATAACAATAATTATTTGTTGGAAAAAAAACGAAACAGTGATTACCGTTGGCCAAGTTTCTTGGGCGCAGTATAACAGGGATCAGGGACGTCATTTGGGGGGGGGGGCAGGAGTATGCATTTGCCCGGCCCTAGATTTTAAAGTAGCCAAATGGGCCGGTGGCCGGGTCTAAGCGGGCCGGGTTTTCTATAATAATCAATATAATCTTAAATCTACTGACTATTCTAGAATATACTACATAATATAAAAATAGAAATTTGTGGTATATCATAATAATATATTAATTAATACGTTATTATTATTATTATTATTATTTATTATTCTATTCTATGGAACTATATTCGTTATCTCAACGATAAAGTAAGTTTAAAAAACCACGATAAAAAGATCAGCTATTGACGTCGTGGACCGTGGTAACCAGTATAATGTAATGAACTATGACAGAGATATGACTGATAAGAGCATAGCACTGTAAATGTTCGTTATCAATAACAATTTTTAAAATGACCAACGAATGTTGAATTTTTCATTTTGAATTTGATTTGACTTAGTGTGTACTGTGTACTGTGTACAAAATAAAAATTTGGCTAGCTAGCAAGCGGAGCGAGCGCCTTTTTTTTTATATACAATTAAAAGTGTTAATTATAGGGCCAGTCATTATTATACCCTACCCTATCAAATATTGAAATGACGCCCCTGACAGGGATAGACCCACAGTTAGAGAACCAAGCTTACTCCAAGAGGCCACTTATTAGGGCTGAAGCTGGAATATAAATGTATACCATGTAACGAAAAAACAATATGATCATATATGTCATATAAGGTTATTTATAATTATCATTGAAAACATTAGCATTTGTTTTATTTTTATTTGTTTTATTTTATGGAGTCTTGCATGGGTATTCGGAATAGAGATGCTATACTGTATTACTTAATAACAACTGTATTATTTGTACACAAATAAATCAGTGACATGATTTAGGGTGGGAGATTATTAAGCATTCGCTACAGTCTGGAATTAACATCAACCTATATTCGACACACTTGAACATTTTAAAAAGTCTTTAAGAGTCCAATTTTAACAACAAATATTAACCTGTGGGTCAGCTTACCTCCCGAAACCCCTCTAGATCCACCTCTGACCACTACGATAGAGATTTACTTTGAAATGAACTTATTGAAATTATTATTGATTTCAATGGCATTGTGGTCATGTTCCACAAAATGTAGTAGTGGTGATGGTGGTGGTATAACGCGGTAAGTTCGAAGCACACGGGTAGAGGTACTCACTGAAAACCGCCGTGGTGTAACTGACCGCGCCATACACCGTCTCCGCGTTCAGCCCGTCCGGATTGACGACGATAACTTTCCTTGTGTACAACAGATACTCTATAACGTGCGTTAGCAAGTCGACGTATTTTCGCCTGCGGAAGTAGGTGCGGCCGAAATGCAAGCACAATATTCGTTTGAGCTGCGCCAAAGTGACGGTTCGGTTCCTTTCGACTCGATTTAGCACGATCTCCTTGATCCGGTCGAAATGTTGCGAACCGTTAACTCGCGATTCGCGAGCCATCGTACAGGAACTCGTTTATCGCGCACCAACGACGGCCACGGATTTCTCGGTGGCGAAGCACGAGCACGGACGAAAGTTTAACACCGAGATCGCAGAAACAACAGGGGTAATAAGGAGTAGGTATTTGGAATTGCGTAAAAAAATAATTTTCTGTTCTCGTTCACTAATAAATATACATAAATTTGTGCTGTTGTTAAGACGAGGAAATCGATGTCATGGATACTTCTTCGTGCGCAAGACGTTTTACGGCGGAACGTACGTTGGTGCGTTTTTTTCGGCATACTTCCCGAATGGTAGCCGTGTGCGGTTGACTTTGACTTTTATTTTTCCTTCGAAAGTGATCAGTCGATGGTGGGCAATGGCTAACGGATAATTCAATCATTTAATCATGCGATACATATTATACGTGCGCATTACTCGAGCAGTTTGAACTTCAAACAGAAATAAATAATAATTATTATACTGTATAATATTTCACTAATAATTCGTTATAATTTTATTACAATACAAAACAAAGTGTAAAATATGTAGTAACCAGTAGTAAAATTATGATAAATTATTAGTGAAACATTATGTGCATGGTATTTTACATAATCGCCTTAATTACCTCCATCAACTCGAATTTATTTAAGGTGGTTCCAGTCAGCAAAAAAAAAAAATCGTTTTTAGACTCTTCGTAGTGACAAAATTGCTAGACTTTGGATTATCCGATTTTAATGCTGTAAAAATTATAAGATTTCTGGACATTTCCTCTAAAGAGCACTTTCTTAAAGTTTGAACCGATGATACTATTACAATATTATACAAATTTTCGTTTTCACAACATTTTTGTTCAATCATATTGAAGAAATACGTATTTCTAAAAAATTCCTCGGTGTTAATAAATGTTAGGATTTTTACAGAATTAAAATTAAAATTTAAAAAAAAAGTCCATCATAAACCACAGTTATTTATTAATTGATATGATCTTGACTTATTATTTTTCGTTTTTTGTGAGTGATACTTATCATTTATTTTTGTTTTTAATTTCTACAATATTTATTTAAAAACGAGTGAAACAAAACATTGGCATCTGGGTACATTTATTATTATAACCTTTACATAATATTTATTATTACTATCCATAATAATATATGTACTTATACAAAGTAAATTGTTTTAAATATTTAAAAAAATATGAATAAAATTACACAGTATCATAATATAGAAATCGTAATTTTTTATGTAGTTGTATTGACATACTAAATCGTAGTAATAAAATATAATCAGATGATTAACTTATCATGTGTTCACTTTATAACAGTAAGAGTAATACTAATAATTATACTATTATGTACATACAAGTGTATAATAAATCGTTAGTATACCATAAAACAATAAATAATAATTTAGTATTAACGAAATATTATCAATAAAATTGAAAATAGTATACAAAATTAATTTTGAATACAGGTACGGCTCGTGACGTATGGCGTTTAGATAATGGTATGTAGCGCACGCAGAGGTGGAACTAGGAATTTTTACGCCTGGGGAAAATATTAAAATTACGCCCTATCATAGACCAATAATCAAATATTATTCCGGAGAATTTGTTTCTAATAATTAATATACAATCATACTTTTTGAGTTTTAACCTAATATCAGTATTTAACAAAGTTAAAAATATCAAATTAGTTGTTAATAATTAAAAATTACACCCTCTACGCCTGGGGATGAATCTATGTCTTCTACCCCCTAGTTGCCCCTCTGAGTGTACGCACACCAATGTTCGTTTATACTCGCACACATCGACACGACCCGAATGCACCTGCTACATAATTTGCCTGATTCCTACTCCTTAGAAAATGACCAACTGGAACCTTTTTATCCTTTTCTCGTTATGTAGTAACATCAAATCCGTTATTCGAAGATGAATTTGCATACGAATTACTAACAAAGGTGGTGGTTCTTAAAAGTATTCTGTTGAACGGAAAATTTCGTCAAACGGAAGTTCGCTGCAGCAACGTTGCGCATAGATGCTCGTTCGGCGCGGACCGGACTTGATAATTATTATTATCATAACGAAGGACTACCTATGATACCATTGCATATGCGCGCATATGTGAACGACGGACCACATTCGCCGTTGTGGGGGGGCCCAATAATTGTTATTTCCTTTTTTTTTCCGATACGCACAGATTGAATCGATAATTCTAAACGACGCATGGGCACCTCTTTCTACGGACAATAATTTATACTTACAACTGTATCATCCGGTGAACACGTGCAAGAGCCTACCATGCAGTGTTCGTAAACCGTGTTGTGCGATCTAACCGCATATACCGCGGTCTGACAGGGGGTGTGACCATACCATACTTGACGTTCACTTTTCCACAAACCCACCAACGTCGCCCGATCGTTAATTAATATATATTTATATACATATACACGCATTTAAGTATAATTATTCATGTACAAGGCACGTATTTATTACAGACGGCGTCGAATAGGAAATTGATATTTAAAAAACACCTAAATAATGTACGGAAGGGGAGGGGAGCACGAAAGTCGTCGCGAAGACTGCATAACAATGTTGTTGTATATTATTAATAATAATGTATAATTTATTATTATAATGTACAGTTACTACTGACAAAAAAATGCCGAGCGTTTAACTCAATAGATCATTACGAATGGATCGGATAACAGACGAACCATTATCATTGTTATCGCGTCATGTTATTACATATTTTAGGTATGCTGTTTCACACGTTAATTCCATCGGAGATTTTAATTTTACTTGTTTATTTATACACGTTTAACGTTAAGCGATAGATTTTCGTGTAATTTTTTTTAAAAAAATATTTTTCCGTCGTATTTGGATCGCGAGTTTTTGCATTACGAAACACGGAACAGCAGTTTAGCGTGTCAACATTTTCGCGAGATAATATGTTCATTTCGTTTGAAGTTCGCATAGTATTTAGCCATTCAGTTTGTATCGAGTTAGTCGCAACGCCAACGAATACCTAATGCATAAATAATATTATATTAGGAATCGCAACATCACTCCCAACTGTTGGTTAACAGTTTAATTGTTTTCTATTAACGTAACGATGTGAACGAACGATGGGACTGCGTTTGCCGCACGGAAAAACAACAAACCTGTTCGATTCGATTGAAAATAAGGTAACGATTTAAAATGCTAACATAATCTCTATCGATAAAAATCCATTCGTGGTACCTGGATCTATTTAATTGCATCGCGAAAAACGCTGGAAACTATGAACAATGTTTTCCCGCGGTGAACCGCAACCCGTTGCATACACGAGTAATACGTAGTTCACAAATGAAACCAAGCTATGCATTTTAGTTGTCACGCTGCAAATACAATATTATTGTGCGGTTTTGTATTGTCTTATGTGGCACCACACATGTGTGCATTGTTATGTTTTTTTTAATAACTACGATTCCTCCGCATTTAGTGCTGTACAAAACGAGTATCAACACGCTCGTTAAATTACGACCGTCGAACCGAGTGGAGGCAACAATTTAACGATAGCACGGTTTGAAAGATGACCGCAGACAATAATAAGATCTGTCATACTTCAGGAGATTTACCGTTTTGCAGCTGCAACTTATATTGAATTTCACCCATATCGATGATGTCCAAATGTAATACATTAAGAAATAATAGATTTTTAACAAACTTATTATTATTTTTTATTTTTTTATATCAATTGCCTATTTGTTTAGTTTGCTTTAAAGCCTAATTATTTATGAAGTGTTTGTTATATGGGCAACAATTATTCCGTTCTTAATTTAAGTCTTAAACTCTTAGCTTATCGAGTATAATTTGTATATAGTGCTGTAATAATTTACGGTAAGACCATACGGTTTTAATTTAAGACAAATTCCCGGTTCGTATCAGTATCGACATACCTAATATGTTTATCAACAGTTTACGTAATATTATAATTCGTAAGATTATGTTGAAAATATTTTCATCAAATAGAAAATTTATTATTTTATCGAATTTGTTTAAATTTGAAATCGCATAATGCAGTGGTGTACTAGTTCAAGACGAATATTTCCGCGGTCCTACATCTACTCGTTTATCGTTGAACATTTCAACGGGATATCTATTGTATCTATTGTACACGCGGTTTAAATAAGCCATAAGTAGGCCTAATCCACGAACGGAAGTTTAAACGAACGTTATACTGCATAATTGTTTGAAATTTTTACACGACTTACACGATTGTTAACACTATATTTATATGATTTATCATATCGCTCAGATTTATGCTAAAGTTTTGTGGGACGTCACACTCGTCATACGTTCGATTATTATTAATTGAGTGACGACGAAAAAATAAAATCAGTCTTGTCGAAAACCAGTGTATCGTAAATGTTGTCGGTTTTTCTTCTTTCTTCTCATCAATTTTTTTTTTTTTTTGCAATTATTTATATAACTAAAAGGTATTTCATAAAATTACTTTTATAACGCTCCAACAAAACAACATTTTCTATCAAAAATCTCCTATGGTTGTAATGTCGTGGAAATCCTCCTGGTCGAAATAATACACAAATACAAAAAATGCAAAAGTAAAATACACATCACGGTAAGACCAACAATAGCTTTTTCGTTTAACTCCAAAACCATCAAAGACTTTTCACATAAGGTATATCTGAACTTTCGTTAAGCTTAAGCCTTCACTGAAACTAATGTGAAGAAGATTAGTGAAGTCCAACGGTTTATTAAAGGGTTACATCGAAGTAAGATCAATGAACTTGAATAGTATAGTATAGTATGTTCTCGAAAATAATTCTATATCGGACGTCATCAAAAGTGATTACAATTTGTTTTATTTTAGCATTTCTATTGTCGCTTAGCTAAACCGTGTGACTTCATTACCCCGTCTTTTTAATGTTTTTCATTTTTTTCTCTAAGTAGATAAACCGAAATAAATGAAACTCAACACAAAGGTTTGACTGAAGTGGCAAACGCTCAGAATTTGAGT